TGGCAAAATTTAAGGGAAAAAAAAAATATACAACCCCTGGCATAATTGACTATTTTGAATTAAAGGTACTTAATTCAAGTGTTGGAAACCAGCAGGTGCATAAAGACCACTCTCACCTTCCAGCTACTTATTAAAGCTGGAAATGAAATTCCTGTGTAAAAGCAATGACACCCTTCACCTTCAAGGAGAAGCGAGGGTCTAAAGAATTCTGTACAGAACTTTTTAAAATAACTTTCATTGAGAGAGAGAGAGAGAGAGAGATTTTTGCTATAGGGTGTATGTGCTCACTGGAGAGACAGCAAAAGACAGAAAATGAGAAAGCAACAAATCACCCCCCCCCCAGGAGAACGACCACACCATTATCACTCACTCACATCCTACCAGCGTGAGTTTCAAGTCACCAGGTCCAGGACTCAAATCGCAGTCAAACCTGTGGGAGCCCAACACCGTAACCACTACACCACCCAATGGCCTCAAAATAACTCTTCTTTTCAGGTACCCATTATGACATAATTACTTTTTCACAACTAATTACTCTCTGTTCAATTTAGTACGTAAAGTGTTTTGCTCCACAGCTTTGGGTCTTCATCCCCTTATGAGGAGTCCCCTGCCACATAAAACTTAAATTAATTATATTGGTATGCTTTTTTACCCTTTTTTAAAAATGTGTGATACAGAGGATGTGCACTAGGCACAGGGAGAAACACTCTCAACAGGGCCTCATTACATTAAAACACTCTCTCCCCAGACTCCAACTCGTCAGGATGTTAGCATGCATGCACTATGACAGCATACAGAGAAACTTCAGGTCACCACAGGATTCCAAATGTTATAGGTAATTCGACGGGTCCTGAGATAAGGAAGGACCGCTGCTTGTCAATTATAGCTTATCAAGAGATACAATCCCATCCAGACTCTCAACCCTCTCCAGACTCCATTCCCCCTCCTGACCCGGGACCAGTAGTTAGACTGGTCCTGAGATAAGGAAGGACCGCTGCTACAATCCCCTCCAGACCCTGAACTCTCTCCAGACTCCATTCTCCCTCCTGACCCAGGGAAGCGGAAGCTCATCTCACTTTTCTATTACCTAAACTTACCTTCAAGAGACCTAGAACTTCACTGTCTTCCCTGCCACCATTCCAAATATGCACACAGGCATTTCTCTTGTGCTTGGGCAATATCCCACTTCCCACTCATGGAAATTGACTGATATGGGCACAAGTCGTCCCTATGCACACGCTCAGGCCTCCCAAGTCCACAGTGAGCATGCGTATGACTTCCACTAACTGGGCAGTGAAGTTCTTTTACTTGACAAGAAGCACACAGGCACCACAAAAGCCCGAGAAAACAAACTGAAGAGCTGGCTGCAAGGACAGACCTCCTCCCCTAAATGTGCATAACAAGATCTACAATAAAAGGAACAGCTAACTTCATCCCCAGTGGAGTTGTCTTCTGACAGCTGCCCACCCACACTCCTTTCTGGTAGGGGGTGTATTTTTCTACTAACATCGCTTTTCTATTAAAAACATGTCTCTTTTTAACCTGGCTGTTGCGGCTTCATTTGGCATCTCGGGGAAGGTCTCTCACCTTCTAGGCCTGGGCCCAAAGAACTGAGGATTTCACACAATACTCCCAGCTTTCCCTTCCAAGAACACAAACCCCTGGTCAGCCATGTGGCTTCCAGCACTGCAGTTCAGAATGCACCAACTACACCAGCAAACGGGGCTGCCCTTCTTCTGTCATCTGTGTCTTACCAACTTAATTCACAGACTCAGCAAGATCTTACAAGAATAGAGGTAGGGTTTTGCCACCCCTATACAATTAAATGAGCATCAAAAGATTCTCTGAAAGTTCATTTTAAAAACAGCACTGTTTGAAATGTAAATCAAAAGTTTCTTACAGGAAGTTATCCTTTTACGGCTCCCAGAAGGACACTATTCTGGCAAAAACGCCGTTTGAACATATGTACCCAGTATGCTCTTCTTAGAGCATCTGAAGACTTGTCATTTTTTATTTACTTTCCTTTAATTGTTCAAAACTGCCAAGTACTTCGAAGTTAATGGGCCAGTCTACGGCCTGGCAGTTAGTGTGTCTGGATCCCACATGGCCTATCACAGTTCAATTCCCTACGGCTTGAAAACACCCTGGGCTTGCGTGCCTGAAATCCGGAAGGAGGGGGAAGGGAGGAAAAGGGACGGAGGTGTGATTATCACTCATGAGCAAGGCTTTCTCTTCCCCCTCCCTGTCTCCCACATGCTTCCTGGCAAATTCAATAAATAAAAGTAAAGTGTCAGACAAAACTTAGTGACTTACAATGTTTGTCATACAAAGATGAGTGGCATACAATCCCAAGATATAATCTAATTCTTACATACACCATCAACACTTTTCAATGTTTTTCATTTTTTTTTCCCAGAGGTTTCTTTCTGCCTTAGGACCTGTGGGTTCACCGGAGAGAGACTGACAGACGTAGCGAGAGACAAAGTGAGAAATCAACCCCCAGAGGGGATGGCCACACCACAACCCCTCCTCCTCCATTCTTCTTCCAGGATCATGGGCATGCACTCAAACACACCTGGTGTGATTTTCACGATACTGGGTTTGGGACTCAAACAACGTTCCGTCATGTAGGAGTCCAGCAACGTAACCACTACACCATCTGCTGGTCCCTTTAAAAATATGTATTAAAAGTAGGGGTTAAAAATGTGGGTTCTGGGGACCAGCAGATGGTGTAATGGCTATGTCGCTGGACTCCCATGTAGTTGACCGCGGTTTGAGTCCCAGACCTGGTGGCTTAAATTCACACTGGACATGTGTGCGTGCGTACCCAAGATCTAGAAAGGAGAATGGAGGAGAAGAGATTGTGGCATGGCCATCCCCCTGGGGGGTGATTTCTTGCTTTATGTCTCTCTGTCCCTCTCTGTCTTCCTGTCTTTCTGGCAAGTGCATGTGCCCTATAGCAAAAATCTCTCCAAAAAAAAAAAAAAAAAGTGGGTTGCGAGATACCAGCAAAAAGAGAATCTGTGTGGTCTCTGATCATATATACTGGAATGAAATCCCATTTTACTAACCATGTGATCCTGCAAAAGCTAACTTAAGGCTCAGTCACCTGATAAGTGAAGCCGGGGAGCGGGGACACTGCCTACTTCACTGGGAAAAGGTAAGTATTAGAAAGTCCATGGAAAATGGTGTACGGAAGTAGTGTCCACCTGTTTAACGGACATTATTACTATTGATTTCCTAGTAAATACCAGATGGCTATTGGTACTAGGGATGTCAAAGTAAAGACAAATTAATTAGGGTCAAAAACCTCAAAGAGTTTACACTATAATAAGAGTCACTTAAATGAACAGAGTTCCGTAAATTGCCATGTTTTCTCTTGTGAATTCTAAATTGCTAACTTTTCTCTTGCAGATATGCATACCCTGCAATTATCAAAGGTGCCTAAACACGGGAGAAGCCTTAGCAGACACAGGAGAACTCTTGCAGAAATGCCAGCGTGGAGCCTGAACAGGAAGTCTGTGAAGCTCTGGTGCCACTGCAGAGACAGTCAAATCTGAACAGCCTCACGCTTCCTAGCAGAGACAAGTGTTAGCTGTGAGTGGAAAAAGTAATACCCCACTCAGCCCCCCTGGAGAAAACCACAACTACTTTAGGTGTGACTGAGAAACAGACGAAAGCTCTCACTGCATTCACTTCCCTCCTCTCGAACCGTTCAGTTAGCTCAGGAAACCAAAGACCTATGACAGTGGCACAGTGGCCTAGGCTGCTAGGGCATCTCTCTGGAGCTCCAGCGTTCCAGGGTCTATTGCATCTGGTTTCATACGGTGCTGCCATCAGAAACAGATGAAAGCTCTCACTGCATTCACTTCTTCACTTCCCTCCTCTCGAACCGTTCAGTTAGCTCAGGAAACCAAAGACCTATGACAGTGGCACAGTGGCCTAGGCTGCTAGGGCATCTCTCTGGAGCTCCAGCGTTCCAGGGTCTATTGCATCTGGTTTCATACGGTGCTGCCATCTTTCACATCTGTCTTCTACACTGGAACGCCAGCTCTTTTATTCCCCTTTACACCCTTCCTCCCTCTCATGGTGACTGCTACCAAGTTCAATAGATGTGTATTGAATTATTCATTGGTACCAACCACTGTGCCAGACAGGAGAGACACTAACATTAAAAGCATGTTCCCTGCCAAAGAACAAATAATCTAGTGGGCATACAGAGTCAGTAACTTAAATCTGAGACAGCACTGACGGGAAGACTACTGAGCAGGTGTGGAGAGGAGGTACAGGAAGGGACATCCCGATAGAATTAGGGGGAGGAATGCCCTTCCATTAAATGGGAGAAAGGGCAGCTCCATGATGCAGACGTCATGTGCTGCTCAAGAGGAGCCAGATGCCACAGGGTGACCATGGTTTGAGTTCCCAGTCATCAGACCCAGATCTCAAGAGCTGGAGGTTGGGAGGAAGGGGATCAGACCCTGCTATGACCAGACCCTATGGAGGGTATTCTTCTATCATCATGAATACATTTAAAAATAAATAATAAAATAAAAATAAATAAATAGGCCTGTGGCATGGTAGTGAAGGTACTAGATCCCACATGGCAGACTGCATGGTTCAAGTCTCAGACCTGGTGGCTTGACATGCACATGTACATGCCCCAAATCCCACGAGGATAATGGAGAAGACAGGGTTGCTTCATGGCCATCCTCCCAGGGGGGTGCTTTCTCATTTTTCCTCTCTCTCTCTCTCTCTGTCTCTAGCGAGTTAATACATACATATATACAAGAAGCTAAAAAGTCCCAGATAGTTTTAAGCAAGAAACACTCTGGAAAATTATGTACAAGACAAATGGCATGGAAAACAGTTCTGAACAAGAAGGAAAGGTGGGTTGAATAGGTAAATATGTCAACTTTAGAAAGGAATATTGACAGTATACTTACTAAGGATAACAGAACTCCTCAAAGTTAAACACTTAAGCTTATCACACACAGTCTTACCTCCCTGAAATTCCTTTTGTTGACCCTGGAATCTCCGGCACAGGTCGATGTCTTAGCAGAAAAGACCGCGATGGTCTTGAAACCAACTTGCTACGACTTCTCATAGGTGCTAGGTTTGGCGATGACGGGACATACAAATCGTTCACCACCATTTCTCCTTGAAATTGAAAGAATGGCGATGGTGGTGCTATTTCTAAGACACCGTTAGCTCCATTTCCAGAATTTCCCTCTGATGTTGAACAGCCAAGGGAAGAAAGACACTCAGGGTCAGGATCAGGAAGTCTGCCCAGATTTTCTGAAGTCAAATCGACTTTTTCTGTTTGTTGTTCTTCAATTGTACAATCCTTGGTCTTCTTTGGAATCAAAGGGTCTATTTTAGTATTTCCACTACTAAATAAAGAATCTTGAAAGGAACCCAAATTTGGGTGTGGTTCTTCTTCCAGAATGGGGAAGTCATGGGGGAAAAGAGACAGCCCGCCATGGGATTTGACAGATTGGCTGTCTTCCACACTGAGGTCATTGGGATCAAGGTTTTTAGTATCAGTCCCCAACTGTGCAGATGTCTGAACATGACTAGAATCGGAAGGTTCTATGCCCACGTTCTGATCAGAAGACGGAGGATGACGATCCTTTGAAGTATCATCGGCTTTCTTCGTTTTATGAACGTTTGCATATATTGGGATATCTTGCATTTTTGACAAGATTATCTGTAGCTGTTTAAGGATCCTCCTACGGTGTCCTGTAGGTGATATTCCGATTCTCTGAAGCACGCTGTCATTTATTGCTGCACAGCCCTTCACGCTGTTAAAACCACACTCATGAAAATGGGAAAGATACTGCTCCAAATTAATGCTCATTAGGAAATCTTTGATATCCACATCTATTTCACTGACGGAGGACATAATGGTGGCTTCATTACTAAGCTGAACGCAGTACAATGAGGCACACACTCAAGACGACGCTTTTCACTCTATCGATTGCAACAGAAAAAAAAATCCTCGAAATACTATTTTCGCCACAGTGACGTGTTATGTGCTTAAGTCTAGGGGGAAAAATAATAAAAGTAATTTATTAGGACATTTTAATTATCAAAATCTTTTGCATTATAAACTTTGTCTGAAGAAACACAACAGAAACTAGGACAGTAACTGTCACTTACTGAGTTTAGACTCTGTGCATTACTTTTAGAATCTGTGCTTTTCACACCCTAAAAGTCAATTCCCAGGTATAGACAGTGTGAAAGCACTGGACAGAAATGCTATAGGATTAATCTATAATTTTTGAAAGGTAAAAACTGACTGTCACACGAATATAGACATGTATCAAAGACTTAACTTCATGAGGGAACCAAAGGATGATAGTGTTTTGTTTTGTTTTTTGTTTTTCTTTTTTAATTTTCCAGAGAATGCAGGCATTTGGGAGACAGGGAGATAAGTGAGAAAGCACCCCCCTAGAGGGGATAGTCATGCCACAATCCCATCTCCGTTTCTCCCTCCTTTGGGGATTTTTGGACACACAAGTCCAGTTTGCTGTTCAAGCCATTGGGTCCAGGACTCCAGTTACACAGTCAGCCATGGGGGATCCAGCTCCCTTAATCACCACACCACAGGCTGGCCAATAAGCCTGGTTTAGGAGCATTTGTGGAACAGATCTATCTAGTCCATCAGAAAAGACTTTTAAAAAGTAATAATAATAAAAAAATAACAGTTGTTCATTCATTTTTTCCACGAGAAAGATGAGGGCTGGTGGAGGCACCCCCAAGAGTCCTCAAGCTGCAACCATTCCCTCCACCCCAGCCAGCCCAGGCCATAGGCACAGTGCACACGCCCAGCACACTCACACAGGTCCTGAGGCACAAACCCAGGGCTTTTCCCCACTATCACTGCACCACTTTATGGCCTGGAATTCAAACATGGCGGTTGTGAATCCAGCACCTTCCACACAGCACCTCACTACTGTGCTATGGGGCCAGTCCACGGGCCTATTTATTTATTATTTATCTAGGGAAATTTTTGCTATAGAGCACATGTGCTTGCTGGAGAGACAGAGGGGCAGAAATAAGAAATCAGCCTCTATCTCTCCTTCCCAGGGAGGGCGGCAACACCTCAATCTCTTCTCCATTACATGGGCCCAGGGTGAGTTTTAAACCACGGGTGCAGGACTCCAAGCACAGTCAACTACACAGGAGTCCACTGACATAAATATTATACCATTTGCAAGTCCCCTTTTTATTTTTTTTAAGTATTACAATAAGATGCCTAGGTTAAAGAAATATACTTGTTAATGTCCCACAGGACAATAAAATCATAACCTCTAGGGTTATCCTCATTTTTAAGGATTATTTTATTTAATTTTATTTCTTACCATTATGAGTCTTTAATTTAACAAGAAAAAGACACAGAGAAAGAGAGAGAAAGTAAGAGAGCAAGCTGCCAGGTCCAAGACTCTAACTGTGGTCGACCATGTGGAAGCCCAGCATCTCAATTGCCATACCACCTGCTGGCCCCAAGGTTATCTTTTGCACTGGACAAAATCTATAAACTTACAAGTAATTTCCCAATGTCTAAGCTCTAGTCAAGTAACAAATAGCCAAATCAAGCACAGCGATTAGAAAGAGAACTAAATATCCCTAGGTTGAACCTATTAATCAATACCTCCAGCAATGCACTTAAAGAACATTCTTTGACTTACAAGTTGTAGGTAATTTTTCTTAACAGTAGTCAAATGTCACCAATTGTCCCCTTCACAATACTTTATTTCAAAGACTTTCAAAGTAGTTAAAGGGACCAGCAGATGGCATAATGGTTATGTCGCTGGACTTCCATGGAGTCGACCGTGGTTTGAGTTCCATATCAGGAGTCTTAAAACTCATGCCAGGTGTGTGTGTGTGTGTGTGCCAGGTGTGTGTGTGTGTGTGTGTCCAAGATCCCAAGAGGAGAATGTAGCAGCAGGGACTGTGGTGTGGCCATCTTCCCAAGGGTTGTGTGTGGAGGGGTGATTTCTCGTTTTCTGTCTCTCTCTCCTGCAAGTGCAAGTGCCCAACAGCAAAAATCGCTCTTAAAAAATTTGTTTAAATAATAAAAGCAGCTAAAACATATGTCTCAAACCAATCCTTTCTATTTTAAAATGTAGGCAACACTATATGTAAACAATTAATATTTCGATACAAGATAAGACCGGTTGAATAGTTAATTCTTAAACACATTAGATAACAGAAAACGTGCTAATGTGAAAGTAAAAGGAAAAAGTGTAAAGGTCAAATTTTCCTCCAGTGCATAACAGTAGATATATACAAGTTTATTTTCTCCCACATGAAATAATTAAATGCTAAAAAAAAAAAAGATTTACCTAGGCACTGTTCATATAGGTGTGTTCAGTTTATGAAAATGTATATGTTGCAAATTCCTGTACATTGTTTCAATAAAAAGAAATACTGAGGTAATAAAATGAGACACACCTCAAGGAGGTAAATGTCTCTGAATAAGCTTTGATACAATGTTTCTGGAAATCACATCTTGAAACAGCTCTAGGAGTCCATGTGTTACAAGCCAATGCCCCATAAGCTTCTGCCTCAGCTATTGAAAAACATTAGCAAACATTAACACATGTTAGAGGATAAGCATGAACACACACTTCTTTCTACACCAGGCTGTAGTGCAGGATCAGATAAATAAAAATCCAAGTAAAAAACGAAAGGCAGAAAATGCCTGTGTCAGTAAGGGATTCCTGTGTCATGCCCAAAATATATATAAAAAAACCCAGAAAATTAAACCTTAACAACTGTATACGGACTTCATTCTCATATTTACTCCTCACCTCCATAACTATTTTGCAATAACTGTGTCATCTGTTTTTTCTAACACCACAAAATGGAAATAATTACCGCCAATGAAGCAATAAAGGGGTCACATATTACTCACCTTAGAATTCATAAACACAACGAATGGGTCAGTACTTTAAGAGGATACACCTTCCTTTTGGGGTACACTACATGACAGGGAGTCATAATCTTGTTTATTAGCTACCACAAAAACTTTAAAAGGACGGATAAATAAATAAATAAATAAATAAATAAATAAAACAGGGGCCTGCAGATGGCGAGGTGGTTTAGGGTGCTAGATTCTCACATGGCTGACAGCAGTTCAAGTCTTGGATCTGACGGGTTGCTTTCTCTCTCTTCCTCCCTCTCTCTCTCTCTCTCTGTCCCTCTTTCATCAAATTTAAATAAATAAATAAGTTAAATAATTGTTTAAAAAATTACTTCCATTACAATATTATTTAAAAAAAAAAATAAAGGACAAAAACAGCTTCAGAAAAATACACATAGGGCCAGCAGGTGGTGTAGTGGTTTAGATACTGGACTCATACACAGCCCACGGCGGTTCAAGTCCCATAATGTGTGTGCCCCAAATCCGAAGAACAGAATGAAGGAGAAGGGATTTCAAGGTAGTCATCTCCCCGGGGAGGTGGGGGGGCAATTTCTCACTTTCCCTCCTCTCGGTCTGTCTCCAGTGAGCACATGTACCACCACCACAACAAAATTAAAAACAGTAAAATATGCACACACCACAAAATCTTCTAATCCCCCCCAGTACAAGGACGCAGCTAAAACAGTGCAAGCCAGGCAGAAATCCTTTACGAGGAAATGAATCTGCCTACAAGTAGATCTTGGACTGCCCAGCCTCCAGAACTATGAAAACACACACTTCTGTAGTTCAAGGCACTCCACCCGGGTACCCTTGAGGGAGTACCCACCCTCCCTGCCTCTGCCATGATCCACCTCTTGCCTGGATTACTGCAATAGTCTCCGAATCCTTCAGCCCTGACTCCAGATATCAGTGAACTATGAAACTGGCATGTCATTTCCCATCCTCAACAGAATAAAGTCTAAGCTCCCAGGGCCATGACGGTTTGGTCTCTGTCAAACAATAACAGGCACCCATGGGTGTAAACAGCAATTATCTTATTTACACCAGACACCATTCCCCATATATGTTCTCTTCAAGGCAGGATTCCAGGCTCATGTCTAACCCATGCCAGAAGTTCTACCAACATCCTTCACTCACTTCTGCTGGTTCGTTTTGTTACCATCCGCCTGAGGCAACAAGCTGTTTAATAGCCTCATGTCCTTTGCACTGGCTGGATCTGCTCACCTTCGCACCATTCATACTCCTAACAGGCAGGTTATGACCTCCTCTGTAGGGGATTCCCATCGGCCCTTCAAGTATCAGGTCAGAGGAAAAGTCATGATGGAGCTTCCTAAGTTTTTCTGTGCAAAAATGCATCATGACTTTTCTGACAACCCAAAAGATAAATCTGTCCTTTCTCCACATACACCCATGACCTAGAATTCTGCAAAGGGCTTGGCATGTGTTGAAGACACAGAGAAGAGATTGATAGGGATGGTAGGCGTGGCTGCTAGGCCCATTTTGATTTTTAGTGTGCACGTTTGTGTTCTAATACACAAAACCTTTTCCTTCCCTTGGAGTACATACTCATGGGGAGTTTCTGAAAAGTTCGTGGGAAATGAAAACTACAAAAAATAAACTATGCATGGGTTTCAAATTTTTTATACCAAGATAAGTTGTATTTTAATTTCATTTTTCCACAGACTTTTTTTTTTTTTTACATCATTTTATTTAACTTTAGTTATTTACTTTAATTTAACCAGACAGGGACTGAGCAAGAGAGAGAGGGAAAGTGAGAAGACAAGCTTCCAGGTCCAGGACTCAAACCGTGGTCGGCCATGTGGGAGTCCAGTGCCCTTAACTACATGTCACCTGCCGGCCTCTCCACAGACTTTGTTTATCATCTAGTATATTTCCTGGTTAGCTCAATCAAACAAATACATATTCCAAATGATCCACCCCAAAACACGCCTCCCTGCTATCATTCAGTGTGTTGAATTAAGGCTAATGAACCTGGTTTCTTTTCATGGCATGGAAGAGGCTCCCTTCCCCTAGAAGACCCTACAGCCCTCTCTGGGCTTTAATGTCAGCTCTATCCTCCAATTTCCTTTTTAAAGTTTATTTATTTCATGAG